GAGCCTGTGAGACCCGCCTCTTGTAGGTAAGATAGGTCAAGGTGCTCTGGATTAGAGGCAGGTTGATTATCCAGACGTGTAGACAGAGGTGTGGAGCCAAATGGGGTTGCGGCGATCACAAGGGCAGGTCAACCACTTGGGGGACCTCACTCAGGCCTCTGTTGTCTGGGTGTGCTTACAATAGGGGTCCCTATTAAAATTCCAGCTGTCCATCTCCCACCCAGTGGTTTTCATTCACTGATCCCTGTCCAGTGGTGCTCCCGCAGTTGCCCTAGCACAGTGGTCCCTGCCCAGGAAGGCTCCTGGGTCCAAGGGGATTCAACAAGACAAACTCAAATTCCCACCAACCCAGTCACCTCTGGCTGGTGTGCAGTGTCCACAAATGTTCAGCCAAATTATCACTGGCCTGGGCAGTTGGTGGTCCTCAGAGAGCTCAGCCAAATTACCACCATTGGGCTCACCCTTGGGAACTCTCCCAGACAATCGGTGGTGCCCCAGAAAACCCAATTAGGATCCTACCAGCCTTTCTCGTGGCAGATCAGTTCCACAGCAGCTTGATTGGTGGCTTCAGATGATGGCTAGCTCCATGGTGTGCCTTTGTGTACTGACTCAGAATTGTACTTTCCATGGCTGTTGTTCTGTGTGAAGGACTCTCTAGTGGCCCTGGAGCACCACCAGGGGGTGCAGGGTTATGGTGAGGCCACTGGGTGTGCCACAAGTGTGGGGGCGTGGGATGGTAGTGGGGTGGTGTCTCTGGACACGGTGTTGTGGCAGGGATGGGGGTGCAGGCCTTGGGCAGCACTCAGAGTTAAGGGTTGTAGTCTGTTCCCAGATATTAAGCTGCCAGTCCTCAGCAAATAAGTCTTGCACACCGTGTCGCCCTCCTTGTGCTCCGCGTCCACTTGGGTCTAACTTACATGAATGTCTTCATATTTTCTTGTGCACAGACCATGATGTTCACAACCATATAAAAGAATTTAAAGGAAAAGAAATTACTGTCAATCTAATAAAGCTGTTATAATTACTGTGATGTTATGTAAAATCCTTTACTTATGATTTATAGAATAGAGGAAAACAGTCTGCTGGAGGGTCAGCTACTGTTTGGTTTTGACTCTATGGGACAGAACCACAACTAATAGTAATTAATGATATAAAACTAAATATCTGTGGACGGTAATATGAAAAACCAATATGATTTGTAAGTCTTCACTAAAATAAAAAAAATTTAAATAAAAACTCCTTCTAGAACCATTGCCCTACCCCATCCCCTAAATACATATAGATGGTCTTAGAGTGGAATTAAAAAGAATCTAGTACAAACTCCTACCTTGACAGATGAGAAAACCAAGAAAATGGCCTTTTGAAGTTCCAAATGTCACCAGAAGCAGTCCTGGGGTGCAGTAATCAAGGGCTCTACTGCTTACTGGACAGTTGTTATCCTGACTCCCTAAGGATTTCAGAAACAGTAAACTATACGGGAGGAGATTGCCCATCTTTCTTCATTGGAGCAGCTGATGGATTCAAACCATATATCATCATTCTGGAAATCAAAAGACAAATTGCATTAGGAAATCTGCTGTTAGGGACCCCTCCAAAGTGCTAAAGAGCAATGATAACAGCCTAGAGACTAAAGTAAGTGCACACGATCCAGGCCATGGTCTTCTCAATTACCTGGTATGCGTCAGAGAGCTGGGCAATGACCAAATGGGTCAGAAGACGAATTGATGCCTTTGAGTTGTGGTGCTAGAGAAGAGTAGTGAACATATATCATGGACTCTCAAGAGAACTAACAGGTTCACCTGGAGAAGGCGAAGCCAAGCAGTGCCCTGGAGGAAAGGTTTTTTGAGGCTACATCTAGTACACTTTGGGCATATTGCCAGCAGGAACCAGAGAAGGACGAGAGAAGATTATGTGTATAAGGGGGGAGGGTTATCACAGGAAAGGAATATCTCAGATGAGATGGCCGGGCACAATAACTGGGGTTAACAAGGGTAACTGTGTCAGAGATAGTAAGATTTGGCCCAGGATAGAGCAGGGTTCAGAGCTATTGTGCATAGGGTCTCTATGAGTCGTGTTTGACATAACAGCACATAACAACAACAATAATAACCTTTACAATACCAGCACCATTCCTTACCACTAAGCCACCAGAGTTCCTTTTTTGGACAGTTGTTGTGTGCTGTCCAGTCAAAAGTGACCCATAGCTGATTCTCCGGTGAGTCTTCAGAGGCAGTTAATTGCACGAGAGGAGACTGCTCATCCTTCTTCCATGGAGCAGCTGGTGGATACAGGCACTTCAGGTCCTCTTCAGTTTCAGCAAGCAGGGTTGTGTCATCCACATAAAGCAGACTGTTGATAAATCGTCCACCAATCTTGACCCCACATTTCTCCTCATAGAGCCCAGCCTCCCAGATAATCTGTTCTGCATATAGGTTGA